GGAGGGTCAGAGAGAGAGGGAGTCACAGACTGAAACAGGCTCCAGGCTCTGAGCTGGCAGTCAGCACAGAGCCCGACGCGGGGCTCAAACCCACGAACCTCGAGATCATGACCCAAGCGAAAGTCGGATGCTTAACCGACTAAGCCACCCAGGTGCCCCTCCTATGCATTTTTTAAAAAGCGAAATAAATATAGGGTGCTTGGGTGGCTCAGTCAGTTAAGTGTCCAATTCGTGATTTCGGCTCAGGTCATGATCTCACAGTTTGTGGGTTTGAGACCCGCATCAGGCTCTGTGCTGACAGCTCAGAACCTGGAGCTGCTTCGGATTCTGTGTCTCCCTCTCTCTCTGCCCCTCCCCTGCTCATCCTCTCTGTCTCTCTCTCTTTCTCTCTCTCTCTAACATTAAATTTAAAAAAAAGTGAAATGCATTTTCACCACATGCTTTTTCTACTTAATACCTTGTGAACTGGCCATGAGGACTTTCTGCTAAAACTTTATTTTTAATGGGTGCCAGGTAATCCGTGGTTGAATTCATGGTCAAATTTGGTTATTCAGCCAAAGCTTGTAATTTTGGACATTCAGATCTTCCTAGTTCTTGGCTCTTACGATCCTCGCTGTGAGGAAGAGCCTCTCCTGATTCCTTCCGTAAGAGGACATGTCACAGGTTCAAAGGGCTTCTGCTATGTGATGCCAGGCAGTCTGGCCTCTGCAAAGGTCAAATTCATCCCTCTCTTTGGCTGTGAATTTGCTGGAACCCTTTAACCAGGATGAACACCGGGAGTCTCAGTCATCTTTGAAAATATGTGAAAACGATTTCTATTTCTATTTTATTAATCTAAAAAAATTAACGGAAAGAGCATGCTACCAAACGCTCCTCTGTGACATTGAGATAATTCTACGTTTTGTCTCCCCAACAACTGTGAAGGCTCACGGCCCAAGCCCTGCCCCAGGCAGCAGACGTAGCACAAGGAGGGCCATTCTCTCACACAGCGTCCGCCATATTTGAAGGCTTCAAGTTCATCCACAGCAAAGTACACACCCTCCTCATAGCCTGGTGCTCAGGAGGCTCTGGCAGGAAACAGGTGGTTTGTGAAATCTATTCTAAAGCACCTTTCTGATGCCAATGGTGTGAACATCCTAATTTTGTATATCTTTGAATCTCCCATGCTTTGGAGTGCAGCGCCACGTCCTGAAGGGAAGCCAAGGATAACATGACGCCCTGTACCGTAAACACGCCACTCCTAAGTCCCTGGTCCCACACGCCAGCTTCAGGGAGAGAGTTCTGTGTGCCTGGGGCTAAATCAAAGACGGCCTGGCCTCTCCCTTCCTTCTAGTCGATTCAGAGGAAAGCCATCTGTGCTGTCTGTTTGGAAAGCCACGTCAGGAGGCTCCTGCTGAGGCCGTGGCCAGGACCCACCAGCCATTGCCTCTCACAGCTGGGACGGCCTCTGTCTTCCCCAGGGGGCTGTGAGTGTCCTCAGCACAGCCTGGGAAGGGTCAGGCCCGGCTGAGGGATCAGAGGCTTCCGTATTCGGGGGACAGTCAGCTGCTGATCTGTGGGCGTTACTGACACCAGTCTCACAGCCACGTGGCCTTCATCCTCCCCAATGCCAGGGGTCTTCAGCCAGGCCCTGCCCCAACACCCTTCACAACGGACTGGTGCTTTCACGTCTGGGAGAAATCCGCCTAGCGCACATTTCTGTTAACTTGTACATATTGAAACAGATATTCTTGTTGCTTGTTTTCAATCTGGCCTATTCAGTGAACTGGCCATGTAGCAGACTGCCCCTCGGCAGAGCTGCCCCTGGGGAATCAGGTGCACACACCGTGCTCACCAGATGCATCGGGGTAGGAACATTCTCTCCATTTCGTGAACACGCCTGCTTCTTGGCTTCATAATTTTTTCCCCATGAGCTCTGTTCGGCCAGCGACTGTGGTCGGGTCCTCCCGCTGAGCCGCCCGCCCAGTGGGCATCTCTTTGGGAGGATGCAGAGACATCAGACACCCATCTGAGAGATTCCCGAGCTGCTCAGCGTTTCCAGGCCACCCACATGGTGGTCACTGCAGGGCCCATTTCTCCGCTCAGCCCGGGCCCGATTCACAGACCAGAGACCTGGAGTGCAGGCGCTCGAGCTAACTGCTCTGTGGAACCAACTCTGGTGTCAAGAACCCCGAGTGTTCGGGGCGCCTGGGGGGCTCAGTCGGTTAAGTGAGCGACTTCGGCTCAGGTCGCTCAGAGCCTGGAGCCTGTTTCAGATTCTGTATCTCCCTCTCTGTCCGACCTTCCCCTGCTCACACTCTGTCTCTCTCTCTCAGAAATAAATAAAACATTACAAAATTAAAAAAAAACAAGAATCCCGAGTGTTCATGCTGTGGGTTCTAGCCTCACCCTTTCTAAGCAGAACTCTCCAGGCAGAATGGGAACCCATGTGTCCCCACCTGTGCCTCAAGGCCTCACGCCCGGGGTCAGGGGCCACTGGAGGAAAAGGTTCCTCACAGACAGAAGTGGCTTTACTTTTTCTGGCATATTTAACAATGTCGTGAACATCCTAATTTTGTGTTAGCTCAAGAGGCAAAACCATCAACAATGGTAAGAAATGTAACAACCCTTCCCTCCCGCCACTCCCCAAAACGACTCTCACTTCCCACGTTATCACCTGCTAGATCTGGTCACAATAATGCCACTTGGGCTTCACTGCTCTTGACCTAATGTCACTTTGACACAGACTTTCCGCACCACTGCAGGCTTGCGCTTCCGGGAGTTGCACAACACGCCGAGGCATTAACTTCCCCGCACAACCTCCCCAGTAGGATGTCTGAGAGGGGGTGTTTATGAAGCCCGTCCCCAACCACAAGGCAGAGCAAGCAGACGGCAGAACGGGCCATTCCTCTGCCTCCCACTCCCCATGCTCCCCCTTTCTGAGCAGATGGCTCTGGCGCTTCCTGACAGGAGAGAGGAGGTTCCCCTGACCGTGACCGGCCCGGGGACCTGGCCTGAGCCATGCGGTCAGCATCCTTGAGGGAGCCTTCCCTGGCCTGTCTCCTCTCTGCGATGTGAAATGACCAAAGGAATATGAAGATAAGGAATGACGGACGTCAGAAGGGACTCACCTTCGTGTAAGAAACACAGGAATTTTGGCAAAACTCACTTCAGCCAGCTAGATGAAGCAGCTCTTGGGTCTCTGGGAAAGGGGGTGCCTCTTGGGACCCGGCCCAGGGGTCCTCCTCTGCTCCCAGGGGAGCTGGGCTCCCCTCCCTCCCTGTTTATCTGCGTTTCTATATACATTTAAAATAAAAGTCGCCAACAGCTGGGCCTCCTGGACACAGGGTTTGGTCCCTCCCCGGGGAAGAGGCTGCTGTCAAGAAGAAAGGCTGGGCTGGTTTTGCTGGCATAGGCAGTGTGTCCCTTGGCAGAGCCAGGCGGCCGGGTCAGGGCGGGGGGGGGAGAGGGGGGCGCAGCTCTGACCACTGCTTGGTACTCGGAAGTCGGGTCAGGTCAAGGCCGGCCGTGGGTTCTAGTATTAGGTCTCGTGTGGGTGTGTGAGGGGCTGGCAATCCCGGAGGGCAGCAGGGTGGAAGTGTTTTTGTGACAAAAGCCCAGGGGTGACCCAGGAGACCAGGGCAGAATGGAGGGCAAGGGGCTGCACAGAGAAGCACAGAGAAGACACAGGCCCTCCCCACAGACGCCAGGCCCTCCCCACGGACGCCGGGCCCTCCCCACGGACGCCGGGCCCTCCCCACGGACGCCGGACCCTCCCCACGGACACTAGGGCCCTCCCCACGGACGCCGGGCCCTCCCCACGGACGGTGGACCCTCCCCACGGACGGTGGACCCTCCCCACGGACGCCGGGCCCTCCCCACGGACGCCGGGCCTCCCCACGGACACTGGGCCCTCCCCACGGACGGTGGACCCTCCCCACGGACGCCGGACCCTCCCCACGGACGCCGGGCCCTCCCCACGGACGCCGGGCCCTCCCCACGGACACTGGCGGTGCTAGAGGAACTACGCTTGTTTCTCGTGGACTTTGTTCAGCGTTGGGACCTAGAGTCCCTCCCACCCCTGGTGTGTGTCTGCCGTCTCGGGGCCCTGCCCTCCTCTCTCTGGATTCCCTCCTGTGGGGCCTCCTCCTGGCTGGTGACTAAACACTGGGGTCCGCTGAATAGTGCTCCTCCCACGGGGAGCCCTCCTGTCTGCCGGGTAACGGACAGGGAACCTACCCGCGCCGTCCGAACCCTCTCCTGGTTCCCCCAGGCTGGCTCCACCTCGCCCCACCTTCCGGGTCACTCAGGCCACGACCCCGGAGTCCCCCTTGTCACCCCCGCTTGCAGTCCGGCTCTGCCCTCAAAGTACATCCGGCCACGTCCTGGGGGCCCACAGCTTGCAGGGCAGAAGCCGGCTCTTGCTACTCTCCCCCTGCCTCCCCCTGCGCTGCTCTTGCAGACACTTGCTTGGCTGCCCCTCCCCCACCAGGAGTCTTCGCTCCAAAGTCTTCTCCATAGGCCCTCCGGCCCACAGGGTCAGCAAGAAAGGATCATGAGCCCGCTCACCGCACAGCTAAGCCTTAGAGGCGGGGAGGAGTAAATAATGGCAGAGGGTGTTGGCTCAGTCCATGGCCACCCATTGGGGGATGCCCCCCCCCCCCACTGGGAAGAAAGACGAAGTCAGCCTTGATGCTAAAACCCCTCCAGCCTGACATTCCGGGTGTTTCCCTATTTTATCACCTTCAGCTCGCTGTGCCGCGGCTGAAGCATCACTTGGCTCAGGGGACGTGATCTGAAGCAGGATCAGGATGAAGTAAGTGTTCGGGGCTCACCCGAATGCAGGCTGGGAAGTCAGATGCCCTCATTTTAATTATGAGACTGAGCCCAGAGAGCAGGACGTTCTCCGGGGTCCAGCTTCCCATGTGGTGTCCTCCCCCCCCCGGGGGCACCCTGCTGTCCGCCCCCCCCAGGATCCTCAGGGAGGCCCCCCGGGGAGGGGGGAGGCCTCACACACTTACTCCAGTCTTTCCTCTTCTTTCCTCCTCAGATCGAAGTCCCGCTGCACCACCTCCCAGATGTGCTTGGCCTCTTCGTCCGTGAGCTTCGAAAGATCCAGTTTTCTCCCCATCTCTGCTCGTCAGGGTCACACCTGGGATAAGACAGGGTCACAAGGGGTCACCGGGGAGCCCGTGGACACCGCTAACTCACACACAAAGAGGCCGAACGAGCACGCCCCCACTTCCCAAGCAGTTTGTCTGGGCCTGGGCGGAAGGGTTTTCTAAAACAGACGAATACCCGTGTGGACATCTGTATAGTTTAAATGTGTAAAGTTTACATGTAAAATTCCTGCACGCGTGGAACTCACACATGTGGCCACGGGGCCCTCTGTCTCCACTGTGCCATCACACTGGCGATGTCGGTACCCAGGGGCATGCTGGGAAACGCTGGAGGAATTCTCCAGCCACTTGGCCTCTCGCCTTCCACCTCCTGATGGAGGCAACACTGTGGAGAAGAGGCCACTTCGTCTCAGATTCAAGGTCAAGTTGCGGAGTTGCCTGTGCCCTGGCCTGCTTAGACGTCCCACCAGCGTGATGCCTAGAGGTCAAAGTTCACATACTTCCCATGGTGCCGCCGACGTCCTGGGACGTGAGGGGGAGTCGAAGCCTTGGGCGGCATGGCCAGTGGGAGCCTCATTCCCCCAAGGAATGTGGGGGTTCCGGAGCCTGGCCTCACCGCTGCCCTGGCGATCCCCATGGCCGCGCCTCGCCTCCAGGGTCCCCATTTGATCCAACTGTTTTACAGAGTCCACTGCGTACCGCCCCGTCTCCATAATCCGCTGGCCAGGAAGGCAAACTGCAGACGAGCTCATGCCCTTGAGGACACCGAGCCGGATCCCAGGCGATGTGAAAGGACGGAGGAAGGAACAGGCAAATGTCAAAACCCAAGAGGAGCAGAACCCTAGAAACTTGCACGCTGTTTGGAGCGGGCTTCGTGGCCGGGGCGGCACGCAGGGCAGGCTCTCAGGCCCGGCCCCAGACCTGCTGCTTTGGAGTCTGTGTTTTAACCAGACGGCCGGGCGGTCAGGCTGCAGGTCCTGGGGCCCCTCCGGGAAGCAGAGCTCTGGTGAAGCAGGACCAGACAGCGAAGGGGTTGGCTGCACAGAGAATGGGATGGGCCCTCCTGCTGGCTCTTCTCCCAGAGAAGCGACACGGGCCTGACAGGCGCTGACGCTGCCGTTATACTGGGCACAAAACTGAGGCCCTGCCACAGAGAGAGAGGACTCCCCGGGAATTCCAGCACACGGGGTGGGGGAGCACTCACAGAGGGGGCTATGCTGTTCACCCCTGCACCCCGCCAGGCCCATCCTCGGGACATTTCTTTGCACCTTCTAGTGTCACTGCGGCTGTCGCCTCCGTCACTGCTAAGCTCCTTGAGGGACGGAGACTTTGTTTCTTCCCTGGCACACAGCAGGTACTGTGCGGGGCCCCCAGTGCTCCAGTGCCCTGGAGGTGGCCCACGGGAGCCCCTCTGTGCACAGCTGCTGCACCCATGAGAGCTCTGCTCCGGGCACCACGGCTCAGGGGAGCCGCAGTCTGGGTGACAGGGGTGCTGTGGGTAACAGAGTTGGAGAAGGGCTCCAGAACACTGACATGTCTTCAGTGAGGACTGAACCCCGTCTCTCGGGAGCACCCCCTCTGTCCGCTCTCCCTGGGAAGTCTTCGAGCCAAGCAAAGCCTCGCTTTTGCTTCTGAATGTCGGGGAAGCATCTCCCTTTCAATGCTGCTGGCCATTCGCAAATGTCCATCATGGAGAGGTTACCAGCACTTGCTCTGGGCTAGAATGGACTCCGATTGTTTCACAAGGGGTTCATTATGACAAGTGGCCATCACCCAGCCACCATCTAAAATGAAAGTTTCCTCAGAGGTCCTGTGGCGCTCAACTAATGCAGATTAAATTGGTGAAAAATAATTTATTTTCTAAAAAAGTGTTTTTAACATTTATTTTTGAGAGACAGAGAGAGACAGAGCACAAATGGGGGAGGGCCAGAGAGAGAAGGAGACACAGAATGCGAAGCAGCTCCAGGCTCTGAGCTGTCAGCACAGAGCTGGACGCGGGGCTCAAACTCACAAACTGCGAGATCATGACCTGAGCCGAAGTCAGATGCTTAAATGACTAAGCCACCCAGGCACCCCCAATAATTTCTTAATTTAAAAAAGTTTTAATGTTTATTCATCTTGGAAAGACAGAGTGGAGAGGGGGAGAGAGGGAGGCAGACACAGGAGCTGAAGCAGGCTGCTATGAGATCATGACCGGAGCCAAAATCGGACACTTTAACCAACTGAGCCACCCAGGTGCCCCAATTTCTTAAATTTTTTTTTGCACCAAACCCTTAGTATTTCCAGCCTCAAGCACAATGCTGGCTGTGAGTGAAGCGTCCAGAAGCCAGGGTCATCTGGACTATTTTCATTTATGGTTGAATTTAGATTTTGGCCAAGAAAATGTTAAAAACAGAATTCACTGTTGTTTCCCTAGAACACACAGTTTCTAGTTTTTAAAAACCTGGATGAAAAAGTTCTTTTTTGATAGATGACTGAAGTTTATTCAGGTTTTTTTTTTAACCTTTTTGAAAAAAAATTGTGCCATAAAGCACATTCACTGAAGCTGTTTTCAGAGCAGATGAGAGATTCGTGACCATCAGCTGACTAGCTGGTGCCCTGTCCCCTCCCTACAGGGCCCCAATTCCAGCTTCCTCTTAGATGGGGTGGGGTGAGGGAGCAAAGCAAAACAGGAGGCAACTAGCCCACTTTCCTCACCTAACTATGTCAGAGCCGGTCAGCGGATGGGCGGGAAGGCTGCTGCCAAGTCAGAGGATGTCTCCCCAACCCCCTCCCCACCTCTTCCTTCTCCCTGAAGCTTCTTCTTTTTTTTTTTTTTTATATATATATATTTTTTATTTATAGGAGAGAGAGAGAGTGTGAGCAGGGGAGGGTCAGAGAGAGAGGGAGACACAGACTCTGAAATAGGCTCCAGGCTCTGAGCTGGCAGTCAGCACAGAGCCCGACGCGGGGCTCGAACCCACGAACCGCGAGATCATGACCTAAGCGAAAGTCGGACGCTCAACCGACTAAGCCACCCAGGCGCCCCCTCCCTGAAGCTTCTTGCTCCTAAGGGTGGCTACTTGGTTCCCCAGCTTCGACAGCAAAGATCACCAAGGCCTCGGGGACCAGATGCATGCTGGCCCTGGCGGGTCTGGGCACCTCTGCTGAGGGCAGTGCCTTCCCCGGGGGGAGGGGGAGCCTCAGGAACAGCAGAGAAGCGAACGGGCGGGGGGGGGGCGGGGGGGGCGAGGGGGGGCGGGGGGGAGGGGGATGACCAGCAGGCAGACGGTGGCAGGTGGCCCCATCTGCTTCTACAGAAACTGTGACTTAACTCCTTCCAGGACGTGCCAATCGTGACCCCAAGTTATTAAGGGGAGTGGCCTCTTTCACTGTGCTGTGTTTCATACGCCAGAACCTAGAACAACATACGGCCGCACAGCTAAACCAACATGTGCTTTGCACACGGTCCAATGTCACCTGAAAAATTTTACTCTGAGGCTTATGTTCAGCTCAGACTCAACCTCGGGGGGACCCCAAGGCCGCGGTGGGGAGGGGGTGCAGGGAGGGGAGGGAAGGAAGAGGAAGTCTCAAGTTCAAATGAGCCCTTAGGAGGCAGTGCTATGCTGCCCAGTGGGGGGTGGGGAGGGGCTCCCCAGGGGACCGGGTTCCCCACACGGCCAGAGGTTGAGACCCAATGGGCCACCATAAGGGTCTTTATCTGCTGTGACCGAATCTTCCCATGGAGTGAATTAATGACGCGGAGAAGAAAACCATGCGTAGAAAGTTATCTTAAATTGAATGCAGAGTATGTTTGAGTTCAGCATTTAAAATGCACATCCGCAGGTCCCTGTCATTCCGAGCCCCCGCGCTGATTGGCTTGGGCTGGGACACAGGTGCGGGCTGCCCCTCGGCCAGGCGCAGCCACACCGAGGGACCCCCCTGGGCTCATGGAGGGGATGGCTCTTCAGCCAGTGATCTCCTCTCCCCTCACTACACAGGGTGCTGGCTCGTGAGCCCGGATCTGTACCCGGAAGCCCTCCACCCCAGCAGTCACGGGGCAACATGAGGGCAGAAGGCTGCTCTGTCCCTGCCCTGGCAGCGGGGGCGGGGTGGGGGGGGACCTCCCAGGGCACGGGCGCTGGGGCGGGCAGACTCCGCCGGCCTCCTCGTTCTGTCTCAGAGCACAGCACTCCTCGTCACGAGGCTCCCGAATGAAACGCTTTCAACTTTGCCTGCTCCCTGGCTCGGATTTAATCACAGTTTTAATCTCTGAGACCGTTAGCCCTCCCTCACCGGATCCTGGTCCTGGTGGAGAAAAGCCATTACGGGGAGGAGGTTAACCAGCTGGAAAGACAGCGGAATGGGTTTTATAAAGTGGACACCCCCAGACGCAGACCACTGAATTTCCACGGCGTGTCATCTTTATCTGTCAGAGAACGGAGCTCACATTCGGGCCAAATTAAAGGGAAGTCCGGGCCGGGGCTCCTCCCGCATGACGCCGGGCTTGACCACCTCTGGGGTCAGCTGCCCTCGGAGCCTTGCAACAATGGCGATTGTGAGTGTCACCCGCCTGAGCGAATAAAACTGGAAAGCGAGTCAAAGTTTCTCACTAAATACCCAACTAACAAAGGCAGGAGTGCTCTCTGACTCATGGTCAAGGCTGTGGTGCTGTGTTTGCCGATGAAGGTGCAGGCACGTTCCTGCGGGAGGGTGGAGGTGCCCCCTCGGTGCGGGGGCGGGGGGGGCGTGTGTTAACCCTGTGTCTGTTTCGGAGCGCCTCCCTCACGCCGGTTGGTGTGGTTACTTCCGCGGGCAGGGCTTACCACCCATTAGTAGCCACCAAAGCCCCAGCCCTCGTCAGCTGCAAAATGGGCCCATTTCCACTCAGAAGCTTCCCCCGACCCCTGCTCAAGGGGCACCAGGCACACCAGGTGCACTGGCTGGGCGCTCTAGCTTGCCCCGGCCACCTGCCCACTCTCTCTGCTGTCTCGGGTCTCTGGGAAGTTGCTGATACTCCTCAAATATACCT